GATCCTCGTTACAACAGGGTTTGCCCCGTCTGCTTTTCATCACACTAAAAAATTGAGTAATAAAAAGCATTTCGTCAATTTTCAGTTCACATTTCATTTGACTCCTACACGACAAAATTCATCTTATGATCCAATCATAAACACTTGAATCAGATTCATCATCATTTGTTGGATCGTGGATAACCTGTGAGTTTCACTCACCAAACTAAAAGGCTCGCACAGATGTGATGAGATTGTGAAAAGATGTAAGGAGGATGCAACAACCAATACGAACNGCCTATCCACTTAGCCAATATAATGGACGTAGAAGCTGTCTGTTTCCGGTTGTTGTGATTGGTATTGCAGACAGAATGCAGTAGTCAATCAGACAATCTCTGCTAACTTGTAAGTTCAAATTTAATTATGGCATTCAGGTGCAAAGCTGCTAATTCCTTCACTGTCTCATCTTATCATTGTTCGGCATATTGTTAAATAGGTCTTTCAAAGCCCGAAATATGTAGGTACTCGCATTTTGTTCGACAGAAGACGTGTTGTTCGAGGGAACCTCTGTATCAATGAAATTTACTCACTAGGTTGTTGAAAACCCACTTATGCCGGGAATGATGTCAATATTCACGCCTGAGCAAGGTGACCAATTAATCAATCCATTCGGATACTCCCTTACGCAGCCGACCGAGGTCAATTATGGTCAGATTCACTGTCGTCCGAAGCTCCCTCGATCAACGGTCAAAAAAGACAGGCGAGACAGGGACACGAACAATCAAACCGTACCACCACTGAAATTTTCATCCTTGTTCGGTAGCTCACTAAAATTATACTTTTGTTTGTCTACGGAGGAATCAATCCATTCATTCACATGTCCCGGTATCTACAAAACAGAGCTTTGTAAGGAAGCTGATAGCTGACATTTTTTATTCTCTGTTTCCGTGTCATTAAACGAAGCGAACTCGGTCGCATGTGTCGTGTCACACAAAACCACGGGTTGTGTGAAAAGGAGAATGTTTAGCATCTCTCCGTGTTTCATATCCGGACAAGCCCACCGCTTTCAGACTCGTGGTTTTAGTCACAAAGATAGCGTCCGCTTAATAATAGGACATACATCCTGCGACAAACGTATTCCACCCACCCACCCCCCACCCCTATCTAAATTTTTAGGTTATCCCTGCTACCACATTCACGATCATCAATAGTGTGCGGAATCTAGATGACAACCGAATGAGTGAAATGTGAAGAAATTAGTGTCATCTGTGTGGTCTCGTAACTCAGTTACTAGTACCTGCGCTGCCTAAAACTGTGGGCGGAGTCCCTGTGTGGGTTCAAATCCCACCGAGGCCACTGACTTCAATCGGCCAAACGACAATTTGAACATATCAAAAAGGACAACAACAGAATTTTCATGGCCAAAATTAGTGCACCTTCAAGGACTCTATCCATTGAAGTTATTTCACTATTATTCTGTGTATTTCAAATGGGAATTCGTCGTGTATATGGCAAATGAAGCGTGAACTGAAACCTAAGAAGCACTGGACAGCTGTTTCGACCTGCTTGGGTCTCATCAGCGGTGCGAATCCATCGAACCCTGGATCTCACAGGCAGAACGCAAGCATGTTACCCACTCGAACACCAGGCAGCTGGTCAGACCATTTTTCATTCTGTATATATATACCACTTATTATCAAATATTCTACCAAGACCATCAGGTCACGTTTGTTGCAGTTAGTAGCATCTAACCCACTTACAAAACATCGAATCATAACATTGATTCTTCATTGGGCTGGATCTGAAAGGCTGTCTAGCCAATGGTCACTCGGTGTTGCAAACAAAATTATTGTGACGAAAATTCACTTCCTGGGTACAGGTATGTGAAAGAACTGGCAAAAGATTACCGGATACGCATGCCTGACGAGCGGCAGGAACCACGAAACCGGTCGTGTGCTTCCAAGTAAATTTTGTCCAGTCATTCACATACTACTTATTATCAAATATATATGTATAATATTTACGAATACTTCTTGGAGAATAAAGATAGATAGTTAGATACTGTCATTTATTCCGTACTAAGCGTCGGATTAACGGCAGCTCTGTCTGCGTTTGTTCCAGTTGGACGTTTGCGTGCAGCTCACAATGCAGCAGAGTTAATCCCAACAAATTTATCGGTTCATTTGTCCGTTCCCGGAAATGTCGTGGAGCACGATAGTGTAATAATTCCAAAAGCCGGTTCTGGTCGAGGGTATTCCATAATTGAGGATTACAAATTGGAGGTCAGTAATTTGGCATGTATCACACAAAAACCTGATTAGAAACATACCGTCGCCGTTCCTGGTGGCACATCGAATAATGCATAGGGCAGTCGGTAGTTATTCTTTTTCAGACACATCAATTGGCCCTCGGTGGTCTTGATATATTTTTGATCATTGAAAGTTGCCTACTACTCACAAGTGAGTAGTATCTCACAACAATAGTAGCAATGACCTTATTTACTGGTGAACCGCGATCGCTGCAACACAATGTGGTTCACGGACTTCTACTGTGTTATATTGAGAAGAGTGCAAGTGAGGCAACCCCTACCCCCCCGCTCATCTTCGAGTACTGCCGCAGTTGTCCGCGACCGCTCACTTAACGCCCCCCAGGTTCACCTGATTAAGTCGTATTAGCAGTAGAAAAAGTGTCGTCATTTGAAGATTGACAAATGATTATGCCGTTTTCTGTCGATCGATTATTCGACAAGGATGGTTCTTGAGGTACGTTCAACAACACAATCGAATCCCTCTATATGAGTTGTAACGATCAACGTGCTTTGAAATTAGAAAGTTCGAATGGATTCCATCGAAGTGACTGTATTTGGATCGCATTCAATTCTTTTAGCTTGATGGCAAACTGTACGAATATTGCCTAGTCCACTAGATTGATGGTGATGAGATAATTATACTTGACATTCATCACCGCTTAGGCCATCATTCACCGGTCGATAGATTGAAAGTTGCAGTCCGTTAACATCGGAATAATTCCCCGAATTTCGGAGATGGATAGATGCATCGATTTGATTAACACACACACACATACGCAAACTCGATTCCTCATTAGTTTTTTTTATCATATCATATAATGGCATGATAAGCGATGCTCATCGGAACCGCACATTGTCGTTTTAGTGGGACGGGATTAATGATTGCGCCACGTAAAAAACAAACGGTCGGTGTGTGATAATTCAGTTCCGAGTTTCACAACATAACCTCTGAGATTTTGGTTAACTAACTGATCAATGAAGAAGGGAAAGAATGCGTGTTTGAAAGAGAATGTTACCAAGATCAGGGTATGGTATAGGTGCAAACTAAATGCCGAAGAAAATGAGCGGTTACGAGAGCCGCACTGTTCACAACGCTAAGCCATATCCTTCTAAGCACAGCATATCTCAACTGGGTAGTCTGACGACCGGATAGATCATGTCCATTTTCGGTTATTACCGTTGTTGTGTGTGTTGTTGTTCACCGTAATGATAGTACTGGTAATGTTGCACACCGAAGGGACTTCTTATCCGGCGATGAGTGCAATTAATATCACAGTCAGCGCAATCTGTAGAAGCCAAACTGTGGAATCAGTACGCGATTGTGCTTGCCCGAGGCCTGGGAACTCTCAAACCGCGGCATTCTGTTCTACTGATGTTGTTTTATGCCGTCCCACAGCTGAGGCCATGGTACCAGATGGGATCTCGGTCGACAGACATGCGTTTTTTAAATCAAGTGTGATAATTCGAAATCCAAAAGTTTTCGGGTCTAGAACCCACAAATAGACTGGATTCCCGTGCATATACCTTCATTTCTGTGCTATTTCTTTTTTGTTGTTTCTATACTTGTATGATCAAATTTTCCCGTGGATGGGACTCGAATGCATACCCTCCTAAGTGCTATGATTTTGATCAATCAACACGACGCCTAACGTGGTGGTGGTTCACCATTCCACTTTCCTGGCCTACGATTGCCAGTTCCCTTGAGTGAACAGTATGTCCTCGTAACTATGAGTTTTACTCCATCTCTCGTTCATCTAACAGAGATAGGTGCTTAATAATATAATTGGGTTGTACTATATCGTGGAAATGGAGAATGAAAAACAATCTGATCAGCTGCCCGGTGACCGAGTGGATAGCACCCTTGCATTCTGTTTGTGAGGTCCCGGGTTCGATCCGCAGTTGGGTCGATCGTTTCGCACTGCACGGATGAGACCCAACCGGGTCAAAACAGCTGTCCAGTGCTTCCCAACTTTTCATTTCACGCTTCATTTGCTATATACACGACGAATTCACCTTTGAAATAATAGAATTATCCCGATGGATCGATGATTTTGCTCAAATCTTTCGTTGCGTATGTAGTGGTTGTGTTTCAGTGTGTTTTTCTAACATAATCCGTTGGGCTACAATTTACTTTCCTTTCGTAACCCTTCATTCTGTTCCATTCCCCCCCCCCCCCAGATGATCCGGTACAAAAGCCATTCCTCGAATCGGTAGCCAATCGTCGTGCCTGGTTGACATGCTTGGAATTCTCCCATACGCACACACTAGGCGTGTCCAGTTTGGACGATTATGATCAGCAATACGCGCAACCCGGATCCACGGTGGACGAAGACGAAGATCAGCTCTGGTCTCGTGTGCATCATCGCCTTGTCCCTTCTCCTCGTCTGACCAATCTTATTCGAGGTCAGGCAACCGATGTGTTGGCTTTGTGCAAACCGGGCGAACAGTTGGGCATCCCGCACACCCTAAGACCGCATATCTGGCCTCGACTGACCGGGTCCCGGCAAAAAGCACGCGAGGCACGAAATCGAGATCCCCCCGTTACGTACACGGAACTGGTCCAGTTGAGTTCATCTCAAACAATGCTTTCCGGATTGCAGATTGAGAAGGTAAATATGTCAAAACTGATAACTGCTCTGTTAAGCTCTTTCCTCAGGTTTGATACATATATATATATATAATGTGTGTGTGTGTGTGTGTGTGTGTGTGTGTGTGTGTGTGTGCTGACATGGGAGAATGGGCGTAACGAACTGGCGAGGTTTTCATCATATTATGACACATTTTACTGATTGAACTATCGTTCAAAAGCTGGAAAATCAAGAACGCATATCTGGAATCGGGTGACAACGACAAGTGTGGATCACGATTGATCAGATCAGAATATGAATGAAAAATGAAAATGAAATGCAAATGAAGTCCACCTTAAGTTATAGAGTCATTGTCAATTAGTGCCACTAGCCCATGAAACCCAATGGTAAAACAACCATTCCATGGGGCGCCTTTGGACAACGCGCAAGTCTTAAAGAATTAGGATGTCATCCAGCGGTGCGACTAAATTTGGTTCCCTAGAACTGATACTGTTCCTGAGATTTAAAAAAATACAGGTACACGCAAGTTAGAAATAAAGCAACCAAAGTATCCATAAGCTCGTGAATATCGTATCTTACAGTATGCAGAACGATAGGATTCCATCACGATGTGATGAAACACATTCCTTTGTTGCATGACTCCGTGAGCAATAAGGAGGACTTTTCCCAACCAAATCTGCTGATGAGTAATTGACTGAACACCTACTGGGTTTCTTTGGATCATCCACGTTCGTTTCAGTTAATAACTACGGGGTGAAGCACTTCATCATTAAAAAACCGCCATACGAGCGGGATAGCGGGTGTTTCCTTTCAACAATAGCCGTAATCCTCCTACTTTATTGGACACCTAGCGACAACCCTAGTCGGGTAGCTCACAGCGAATGAAGTGCTGAGCCATCAACCTTACTCTTGCTTGATTGAATGCATGGGACTGGGAGCCGATCCCCAGTTAGCGACCGATAACTAATGAACAAGCGAGCAGACCACAAAACTAAAACTGAAAGTACTCGTGTGACAGATCTGAAATAGATTGTCAAACGAGTACCACAAATACGTTTTGTGTATCAAATCTATGACGAATTGGCTCGTGACAGAAATCCAGCCGGTAGTCCATTACGGTTCAGAAACATGGTCCCTATGCGTCAAAAATAGGCGAAAATTTCCAGTGTTTAACCACCACGGGCTATGCAGCATTGCACTGTGGTAAAACAACAACTGGGCAAGTTATGTCAAGGTCAAAGAGACTGCTACATATAATCGCCATCACGCCTTCAATCAGGTACTTGGTCACTACACATTAGGATGCATTGGGATGCATTAGACTTCCTTGCTGTGTGAATGGTTGAGGAACAGTGATTGCAGAAAGTCAAAGCAACTGGAACGGGTCTTTACAATAAGCTATGAGAGAAGAAGTAGACGGGATTTTGTCAAGTTTACTGCCAGCGGATCTTAGAGTCAGCCTAATTATTGGTGGTATATATATAGCTCTTTCAGAACCAGCCCATTCATGAATCAACATTATGATTTGACGTTTGTAGATGAGTGATGGTGGCACGATGGTTTAGTCGCTGTCATCGGTGTACTTTACACCCGATGGTCCGAGGTTTAAGCCCCGCCATCACCACCCAACTTTGGTGTTACGTAGCGTTGCTGCTGTCCGGTTCAATACCACGCCCAAACTAGCGGGATCTTATGCGGATCGCCATTCCAGGTCCCGGGGCTTAAGTTACCGGTTTCCATCACTGAACAGCAGGTCTGCGTGATTATGGAGTTCATCCCCGTGTACTGCTCATCTCAAACGAGTGTGTGTAATGAAAAAACCACAACACAAGTGACTTTGGCGTCTTGGTTGGAAATTTTACAAGAAGTGGTATTTGAATGACCGAAAAGGTTTCCCTGGAAGCCCACAATTGGTTTCGCGGTTCTTGTCGTTCGTCAGGCATGCGTATCCGGTACTCCTCTGCCAATTCATTCATATACTGTGCTTCCAGGGAAATTATGTCGAGTCATTCATATATTACTTATTGTAAAATCTATATACATAAACATGAGCTGAAAAACTACACAGCATGATCAAGCCATTTGGTGCATTAAAAATGACGTCTCATTAAATATGAAACACTCACANCCTTTGTTTTAAAAGATGGATCACTTGGACGATAGTGTTTGTATTCTTCAACCTCTTTCTCGATTGCCAACATCTGAGATTGTAATTTATTACGCAAACCAGGAAGTGTATCTCGAATGTGGTTTGTCAGTTGTTGATTAAGTGTACTTTGTAGATAGGGTGTCCCCATGCGATCGGCCATATGCCGATAGGCGGTATGGCTGAGGAAAAACTTGCGCTCGGCCGCCATCGCAGACTTGATATCTTTGCGTCCATCAATGTCCCGTTGGCTTCTGTTGACGACGCCAATATATCCTGGAAATAAGACCCATGAAACAATAAACGTTTTAGATTCCACTATGATATGAGAACAGATGTTCAGGGGCGAGCAATTGTTTTCATGGGTTCTGCGATGGATGCAGCTAGTTTATTATGCATATTCACGAGTTCACCAACATTTAGAACGTCCAATGAAGACATTTGACCTGCGCTGGCCTCATCTATGGTTAACTATTCCACATGTATTTGTAACGCAACCTGCCTTGGCCAAACGGCGAGGTAGATGTCCCAGTAGACCAAAGAGTACTGCTCACGCTGGCTTCAACACGGTGGAAAAGGTGTGACAGGAAGTGCTTTTATGCTCTCTTACCTGGCAGACTCAAGTCACCAAGTGAAGCCTAAATCAGCCTTCAAGGTTATCTAGAGTACCGCTTCACCCATCCAAATCGTTGCGCCTCCACACCCTAGCCACTGCATAAGCGATCGGCATTCATTTTTTCACAACCAATCAATGTGTACACAAGAGACTGGCCCATCCCATTCAACTGATATGGCCGAAAATCGATCGCACGGATGACGCATCACAACCTGATAGCAGTGTTGTGGTGACCTAGTTGTGTGAAACACATCGCACCATTCAGCCCATATCCCTCTTACTCTCAACCAATCACTGACTTTTGAATGACCGATCGTCTATCCCCGTTGGACATGTCAGTTCCTTATATTATGTCTGTATAGGCTGGAAGATGAATCAATGAAAACAACTGTTCGCCTCTTAACAATGTGTTCTTATGAAACAATGAATCTATACTACAGTTTGATAGAAATAGTGAATAGAATTTGTTGTATGTGATAGAAAGGAAATTCAGTTATTACGACCACAGAGCAAACTTCACAAAAATGAAACGAACCATCAGTGAATTCGATAACGGAAGATATTAGTCAGTTACTTAAGATTTCATAAGCGTCCAATGTGAAGACGAACCGTGTGGAAATGAAAATGTACAGGTGATAAATGTAAATTGCCGTTGAGTGCAATGAAACTTTCCCCAAACTGGTTTTCTTCGACTATTTGCAAACATAGGCATATATAAAAAGATGTTTTGGGGAGCAAAAACTGTGATTACCACAGACAAGTTCGAAAAATTATATTTCATTTTATGCGTTATATTATGTCACCACTAAAACTTCCTTCTTTTCTTCAACGCTCCATGGAATTCAGTAGGCATGACAGAAACAAAAGAATCGATAGATAATCACGTGTACACGGGGAAATGGGAAGAGCGCGAGAGGGGAAAGACAGGCAACCAATCAGTAGGCAGCTCAATGTCGTTTCTCTCACCCCTATTCGAATTGATCGGTGACCTGCCGAGCGCGGTAAGCGCGGAATGGGGAAGCTGTTGCGGAAATAACATCGATTTTCATCATAGTGATTGAGTGATAGAATGAAAAAGTACATAAGGTCCTTAAATGTTTTCTATTTTTTAAGTAAACTTAACAACTACGATGTATTTTCATTATTCATGGTCAACAACAAAAAATAACAGCGCGTGTAATGAAATTTAAGAAAAATAAGACCAATCACTTATATAAGCAAGTCATTAATGTCAACTTGTAATGCGAGAATTAGACTATCATCAAAAATTAATGGTATTCCTGGGCATGTGTCACAACCACATCCTAATAGATGATGCTAAAAAATACCATGCATGTATGCCTCATACAAAAGATTCCAGTGTTTAGTATCAAAGTGGTTGGGCAAGATTTTTCGGAAGAATACACGAAATTCCAGTAGAAATTCTGCTCGGAAGATAACGGGTGACAAGTGTGACTTAGAAATTAACACTAAAGCCACACTTGGCGATGGTCAAACGGTTTAACTTGCTCTCCTTGACGCGTCCCGAGGACCCCAAGGTCCGTAATTTGAAACCTGTCGCCGTCACTCAACTTTGGTCGTAGGCAGCTTCGTTGTTGTTCGGCTCAGTAGTGTAGTTCGCTACTTCAAGTCCCAGGTTTCCAGTCGCTGATTTCTATAACCAAACAGTAGGTACTAGTGACCAAACAGAGCACCCCTGGTACTGTTCATCACAATAGGAGAGGTATAAAAAACTCATTTAGAATGACCTAGCACGATGCTGCTGTACTGCTGTAGATTCCGCAACAGATCCTACCAATCATCTGTTTTAAGGACACCACTAAAATGTGTTTAACACTTTCGAATATTGTTAGCTTCGTTGATGACAACTGGAAACTGACTCATGCTTTTCCTTCTCTCTTTTGTAATTTTCCAAATCACCTCAGCATCAGTGTTGACTGTTCATTTTCCGCGGAATCTGAGTAAGGCTAAACCTAGCTAGTATCAGCATAGTTTCTGCCGGGTCATACAGTAGTAGGCGGCGCCTTTGGCGAGGCCCACCGTGAAGCTTAAAATTTCAAGCTTTTCGGGATTTTACACGAATTTTATGATCAACGATCAACTAACATTCTCTTCAGACGGCCAATTCATCCTTGTGCGATCACCTCAACAGTTGCTGTCTCCTTATTCATTGAACAGTAATTGAATACGTTATGAGTCTTTAAAAAGCTGGAATCATTTGTTGCAAGCTTTGATCTTAGTTAGGGGCAGTTTTGCTTTATAGTGTTATTGGTTTCCAGTTTTCACTTCAGTTTCAGTTGTATAAGCAGTTACCATGCCCTTTCTTGCGACGGTTTAGTTGCCATCTTTCATGGGGGCCCAGTTGGGTGGAGGAGGAGGGGTAAAGGGAAAGCCGAAATGTTCAAGGCAGAATCAGCGTAAAAACAGAGAATTCATGAAGACTAAGGTTGCATGGACACTGGGTTTGCAACCGAAACATATCACTCAGTGACCTTAACTTTCGACAACAACGATCTCAAGGTCCCCATCCTGGAAGCCTAACCTGACCTATGTGCGCAACTCCCTTGGTCATAATTGCCGTGCCTTNGTGCCTTCGTGTCCGGTTTCAGGTTGATCACACTTTACTTCTTTCCATCTAGCACGTGCCTCAGCGAACAACGCGCATTGTGGCTATCTATTCAGACATGTGTAACACACGCCCCAACCGACGATATCTACGGTCTACCACTTGCTCCATCCAGTGGGCGCCTGCGGTTAACTAAAACTCTGCGCCTGATCTCAGCATTGCTTATCCGGTCCCCCACACCCCATTACGCTAGTGCAACGTGGCGCAAACAGTGTTTTTCGAACACCAATGGTCTATCTTCATCCTGTTTTGGTAATAGCCAAATCTATGCGCGGTGTAGCAGAACTGAGCGAACTGCTGCAGTATATATTCGCAACCCTTCAGACAGTCCGATGTCGAGAAGGCACTATCTATGGATGTCTCATGTTGGTAAATGCCAATCCAGCCTTCTGTAACTGTGATATCACCCCATTCATTAGACGTCCGCCGGGGGAGATAACCTCCTAATAGATGAGGATTCTAACCCGATGGAATCAATACCAAATCACGTAATCGACCGGTGACAGTGCACTTTTTCCGAGCAAATTTTTGCGATTGCAGTTAGGGATATCCCTCTCTGCCCTTGTAGTTTCAGGCTTCTTATCGTTATGGATTCAAGCAGATTCCAGCTGGTATGGCTACATTATGCCGCATAGTAACGCATAGTAACTAGATATAGTTTATTTGCTCATGTGTTTTTGATAACGATCTAAACTTTTCCAATCCACCGTTTGCTCTCACTTTATTGGTAGACTGCATGAGTATCCGATAGCCCGTAACCGAAACCGCCTTACAGCAGTGGCAGGCTACTGAGTGTGCAACCTGAAAAACGCCAGAACGAGTGAATTTTAAGGCAATTGTTTGCCGGGTCTCTAGGTACTGATAGTTAGAAGATGCGGAGCCGCAAAACCACTGTAGAAACGACTGTGAATGCATCGTTCGCTCGGGGTCTGCAGATCACTTTAAAAGAGGCAAACCTACTGACATCATCGTTTTTAAAATCTAAATCTCTAAATGTATATGCACCAGAAAAAGGACTAAAATTTTAACATAAACAAATCAATAGGACAAAAGATATCGTTGAAACATGATGCATGAAACAAAAAAGTGAAAAGCATACCCCGACGTAAAGGAAGTAAACGGTTTTCTAGTACGTCTTTTGCGTCCGTTCCCTGATCCATCAGATCCAGTTTGGTTATTACACCAATCGTGCGTAACCCCTGTGGATCAACCTCCTTGGCCAGTTTTAACGCATCAGAATTCGCCAAGTCCGAATTGGCTGGAGACACTGCCAAAATCAGGCAATTTTCTTGAGTAATAAACTCCAATATCATGCTGCGAATTTGCATTTCAATATCTGGGGGTTGGTCTCCGACCGGTACTTTGGTCATACCAGGTAAATCGATGAGTGTCAGGTTCAGCACTAAAAAAGAGATTGAAACAATAGATCAGGAGACACGTAAATTAACGTCCATTTCCACAATCACACACAAACGAGAGAGAATTATCGAGGTTTATTACGTCAGCTGAAGCAATCATAACCAGTAAAACTAATTGCTTCAAAGACCTGACTGTAGACTACAACTGGGATATATAATCTATAAGATAAAATGAGTAAACCAGAATAAACCGCTGCATATGAAAATGCCACTTGTCCATGGACTGACTTCGCAATGCGATCTTCCCTTGAGCAGACGAAATCTGATTGGAAAATAGATGGGTGATTTTAACCTTTTATGCACCCATGCGAACTCGCATGGACGATAGGAGATCATTCAAATTTAATTTGGGTGATCCATGCGCTCTATGTAATGAACGACTGGGTAACTCAGGGATAAGGGCTTCTATTCCAAAATAAAAGGTTCGTGGTTTAATTACCCACAGAAAGAAAAAATTATGTTGATGCTCGGGAAGATGCCTTTACTTCCTATTTTTAATTACTGAATACACTAGTGGGAAGATTGATGGGGCATTCAGAGAATTACCGGACGACCAAATATATTGCAGATTCTGAAACCGCATCAATCAATTAATCTGGGGGTCTGCAACATTAGGACTATAATGCAGGTAGGTCAATGATCAGTCGCGATCACATAATTGATCGTCGACCGCAGGCGGCTACTGACCATATCAATTTGTTTTTCCAGTCTGTACAACCATTAACCATGTCTTGTCATGCGCCGGTAATTGGTTGTCGTTTTTCGCTGCCCATTTGCATGAACGGTAGAAGACAATAAAGTTAAAAGTGTAGTCAAATAGAGAACGGAGAATCTCGGTAGACTAAGGTTGCAAAGAAATTGAGAAGATGCATGGACGCCACCGTTTACGACACTCGGCAGCCATAACAACCGGTTACCACGATCTCGCGATCCCGATCAAAGAAGCCTATCGAGACCTATAAAACCGAGTCTCCTGGTTACGGTTTTCATACCCTCGTGTGTGATCTTAGTTTGAACACCCTTGGTATTTTTCCACCCACTAAGTATCTCGGCAAATATCGCATATCCTGGTGATGGTGGTCAAGAGGAATAAGTCCTTACCGAAAGCGTATCAGTTCATGAGGTCCGGGGTTTCATTACCGCAATCACTACCCCCAATCTTACGCTGGTTTTGCACTGCTCAAAGCCGGACCTATTGTAATAAGACTGGTTAACACTCCGATACGAAAGGATGATAAGCATTATACAAAGGGGTAAACCTTACTTTGCCAAATCAACTGAACGGTAAACCCTCATGAGTGAGACTCGCTCATTTTGTTGTTCTGCACAATAAGTTGCATGAAGCACAAATCCCAATAAAAACAGTTTACAATCAAACGTCTGTAAGGTTTTGGTGTCGATGATACTTTTTTGCATTGAAAAGGATGAAATGAACTTTTACTACACACCTTTGTGTGCGTAATGAACAGTAGGTGAGGTGAACTCCATAGTCGCGAGGACTTGCTGTCAGTGGGAAGTGGTAGTCCAAGTTCCCTAACTTAGAGTAGGGAAACACATAAAGCACAGTTACGCAAGGCGTGGTATTGAGCTAGACTATAGTAAAGCTGCCTAATACCAGAATTATATCCATGGAAATGAGTGTGATCACCTTCCATTATTATGCTACCATCAATACATATGCAACGGTCTACGTGGAATAATCATCATCATCATCGTACAGCGAGATACTGTGAAGTGAGCTTCACTGATCGCTACCAAGCTCACGATGTACACAAATCAAGTGATAAAGCATGAGATGGAGAGGGATTGAGCCAACTTGGAGGGAAGCAAGGGAAAAGAACCTCTATGTTCAACACACAGAGTTCACAATCTAAGTGTTCATGCATGCCTTTTTCAAGCATTCTGTCTTGTTGAGAAATGACAGCAAGAGCGCCACTGCTGTCGGTCAGTCGCCATATTCTTTAATGTCTTCAGCCAACCAGTTGTAGTCTTTCGGACCCCAACCCGGAAGACGGGAGACACCAACTCTACCTAATCGCTCTGTGCATTTCTTCATGCCTCGCTTCCACGTCATCTGTTGACCACCACGCGGTTTCTTCCAA